AGGCATGTTGTTCACACATTCTTTAAACATCAAAGGGCCCATGGTCTTCTTTCTGGATGACCTTGGAGGAGGAAAAGGAAACAGGGAACCTGGGGACCCCCCGTGTTGATGGTATAAAGATCCAAAGGGACCCAGTGGAACATAATACTTCCCTTTATCTCCTGTTTCCAAGAGTCTTCGATCTGCCGGTGTAGGGTAAAGAAAATATCAGGCTTTTCTGCCCTTCCGCCATCAGGATAGATGATGGATCCTTGTCCTGAATGCATGCCTGATGGCGGGCACCTGGAATAGGGTGTGGGCATAGGTAGATGGGATTCAGCTGAGCTAAGACTGTGCTTTTAAGGGCGGCGTCATGGGGACGCCAGCAGCAGCAGTAGAAGCCGAAGCCGAAGCCGAAAGAGAAGCTGAGAAGCAGCAGAACAAACTCCAGAGAGCTCAGATAGAGTGGGGACTTGCTGGGGGCTGGGAGGCCTGCCAGCCTCCCAGCCCCCCAGCCAACACCCCTGCCTGCCATATGCCTGGTGAACCCCAATAAAAAACCTGCAAAACCACTGAGGACTCTGACTCCTCCTTTACCCGGTCTGCATGGGATCAGAAAACCTGCACCGTGTCCAGTTCCGGCCTTTACAATTGGCGTAGTCGGCAGGATGATCTATGCAGACGGGTATATGGAGCCCTCCGAAGACCTGGAGGGACTAAGGAGTAAAAGACTGCCTGTGACAACACTGGAGGCGCCATGGTGGCACAGAAGGTGGACAGTGTCCAGGATCTACGGGATAAGACCTCGCCCGGAGGAGGAGAAGGAGATGCCCAAGAGAACCAGCCAACGACACCTGAAAGGACCAGCCAACGACCCCTGATGCAGCAGAATTGTCGGGGAGGAGTGGACCACGATTCAGAGCTCACTGGTGCTAATGCAGGGAGAGGCCAATGGACTTCAACTGATGGACATGGACTGATAAACTTGGACTGACAATCCCACCAGAAGGCGGAGGACATTGGCAGGTTATGTTTTTTTTTTTTTTTTTTTGAGAATCTGGGGGTGGCCAGTGGGCCTTGATGGCCAAAAGCAGCCTGTGTATGCCCAGCAGCCAGGTAGAGGAGAAAAGCCAACTGAGAAGGCAAAAGCTGGTACTGATGCTAAGTTGAGAAGCCCTGAGTGGCTGTTAAGCAGCCTGGGTATGCTGAAGAACTGTGAGTCTCATAAAATCACCTGTGGGTGATGCCCTGCTCATTCTTGAGTGAGGGTGAGGAGCTGAGGAACCTGTCCTTGGGGGACAGGTGGGAAACGTGGCTTGGGGTGGAGCCCAAGCCGCATGTAGAGTTTGGATCCCTGACCCATGTGCTTGTGCAGTGGGTTGGCCTGAGTGCAGGGGTCTGCGAGTTGCATTGGTGGCTATGAAGGCCGAGTGTTGCAGCGACTGCAGACAGAAACCCTGAGGGTTGGCGATTACCCCCAACAGAATAAAATTGCCAATCCCAGAGTTAGTGCATCCTGGGGGTGGATGCTGTGTGTGGCTTGTAGCCGAGACTACAGCCAGAGAAGGCCAGGAAGCCTGACGGCTCCTGTCATGTTACAGTAGATGCCGTGAGTGATTCCCCTCCCTCGTATGAGCAGTGCCTTCGGCAGCAGATTTGGTGACTCATCTGCTGGTACCAATAATTGTCTTTTGCACTAGGTTGGTGCCCTGCCTGGACTTATTTGTGTTCTGTTGTATTTTGTTATATTGTATTTTGTTATATTTGATGTATTTGCTTTTGTGGGCCATGGCTGCACTGTTTGTTTGCTTAGAAAATTGTATTTATATGTATAGACTGTATGGCAGAAAACCCTGAGGGGGTGGACTGTAGGGTAAAGAAAATATCAGGCTTTTCTGCCCTTCCACCATCAGGATAGATGACGGATCCTTGTCCTGAATGCATGCCTGATGGCGGGCACCTGGAATAGGGTGTGGGCATAGGTAGATGGGATTCACCTGGGCTAAGATTGTGCTTTTTTTTTAAGGGCGGCATCACGGGGACGCCAGTAGAAGCCAAAGCAGAAGCCGAAAGAGAAGCTGAGAAGCAGCAGAACGAACGCTAGAGAGCCCAGATAGAGTGAAGACTTGCTGGGGGGCTGGGAGGCCTGCCAGCCTCCCAGCCCCCCAGCCAGCACCCCTGCCTGCCATATGCCTGGTGAACCCCAATAAAAAACCTGCAAAACCACTGAGGACTCTGACTCCTCCTTTACCCGGTCTGCATGGGATCAGAAAACCTGCACCATGTCCAGTTCCGGCCTTTACAGCCAGCCATGCCCTCAAGCTGGGGAATTAGGAAGGAATTGAGGTGTCTTTCTTCATTTGGGGATACAGAACAATGCAGAAATTATAACTCATCCTAAGAAAAGTCTCCTAATGATTTTTACTTTCCCTGTTCTTGGGGCATTTTTTTCTTCTGAAAAGTCTCGCCCTTATCACTGCTTACCCCTGCTCCCACTCCAGTGCCCCCACCTCTTTTCTGTCATTGTAAGTCTCTGGGGACTCAGAACCTAGCCCTGGAGATGGCACTTAGAAGTATTTATAGGGCCTGCCCTGGTGGCGCAGCGGTTGAGCGCTGGGTTGCGAAGCTGCCCGCAGCCTCTGCAGTGCTGGTTTGATCCCCGGATGCCTGCGAGGGTCCCACATGGCACGCAGACCTCTCCTGCCGCCCGCTGCTCCCCTCAGCAGTGTACTTTGGTCCTTCTGCCTGTTCTGCTCCCTGCTCTGGCTCTGGCGAATTCTCTCACCCTCCCGCGCTTCTGACTGTACCCAGTGCTTATATAAATAAATAAATCTTTTTTTTTTTAAAGAAGTATTTATAGAATGAAAGAGTGGCACAGATATGAACGTGTGCCAAATGCCTTATGGTCAGAGAGGCACTTTATAAGCACAGTCAATCTGTGTAGGGTAAGGTAAAAAGCATCAGGCTTTTCTGCCCTTCCACCATTAGGATCAATGATGGAAACCTGTGGTCCCGAATGCATGCCTGATGGCGGGCACCTGGAATAGGGTGCGGGCATAGGTAGATGGGATTCACCTGGGCTAAGACTGGGCTTTTAAGGGCAGCGTCATGGGGATGCCAGCAGAAGCAGAAGCAGAGAACGAATGGAAGAACCATGAGAAGCAGAACCACGAGAGAGCAGAGAGCACCAGAGAGCCCAGATAGAGTGAAGACTTGCTGGGGGCCGGGAGGCCTGGCAGCCTCCTGGCCCTCCAGCACCCCTGCCTGCCGTGTGCCTGGTAAATCCCAATAAAAGCCTGCAAAAGCCACCGAGGGCTCCAGGACTCTCTCCTTTACCCTGTCTGCTCGGGTCATAGTAAACCTGCTCAGCGCCCATCCTGCCCACTACAATCTGCTTTCAGCATTTCATCATTTTGTTCTGTATCAATGAACGTATATTGTATTCCAACTAGAGGGGATGCAAGAAAAGCTTCAGACACAGCACGTACACTCCTGAGTATTTACATTCAATTTACCTACACAGAGAACATATGGACCCAATTACAGAAATGTATGTGGATTCTCAAACCATCACCTAGAAAGCACTAGTGAAAACTACAAGTTCCCCCAGTCCCACTCACCAGCATTTCTGATTCAGATAGGGCCCCAAAGCTAAATATTTGAGCCAGCTCCCCTTGTAATTCCGAGGCTGATGTAAAGCAGTCCGCTCTTGGAGAAACACCAACTTGGGAGGAAATAGACTCATTAGGCAGGCATTGAAGATCTTGGCTGATCTTTTCAATGATCTTTCCCATTATTCCTGAAAGCCTGTCCAGCCTCCTCCCTAAACCTCCCCAAACGATCTCTCACTGGTAATTCCGAGTGTAGGTCCCATGGTGCATGATGGTCCCGTACTCCTGAGTCTCAGGTCTTAGAACAGGCACTGTGGGCTGGCAGAGAAGGCACAGCTGAAGCTCATTGCATGAGGGGTACGTCACATCCTGGAGAATCAATTGTAGTCCCACTTACACCTGTTTTCCCCTAAAGAACAAAATCCTAAAACATCTGTCAGATGCTCTTGCACTTCTGCCTCACACTAGGAGGACCTCATGGTTTCTTTTCTTTTTTCATTCTTTTTTGTAACTCAACTTTATTTACTTTTGTGATCATAAATGTAGTACATGCTTCCTGGAGAGAATCTGGGAAGTATAGAAGTAGAAAGAAGATGAAACACCAATGATCCCAGTTGAAAGCAATCACTGCTCATGCTATGTTTTAACCATCTATGCCTGTTTTAGACCAAGACTCTTTAACCATCTGTGCCTGTTAAAGGTCAAGAGTGTTGGCCTTGGAGCACTATATTCAAGAGCAGTGAGAGCAATTACCACAACTGAGGGGCTCACTGAGCAGTAAGAGTGAAATATTTCATACCGTGGAATAAGACAAGGGCCATAAACACAGATCAAGAAGTTAGAAGCTGAAAACATAAGAACAAGTTGGATTATGGTAAGAATGTAGTGAGATGGCACTTGTTAAGAGTTTAGTCCAGTACCTGTCACACAGCACATAATAAATATGAACCACTACTATGATTATCATTACGGGTCAAAACACCTGGTTTAAGTTGGAGACCATAATCAGGCAAAGAACCTGGAGAGCCATTCTAGGTGTTATGAGTTGAGGCACACAGGGACAAGGTAATTGGGTGAAAAGGCTGGTATAGATGTGGGTATTACTCTCCTTATAAACTCCTCTACCAGATGAAATGACATATGGCAAGATGCTCTCATGTAGTTTTGAGGTAGGTCATGGTTTCCCCTGCCTCAGCTTCTCCCTAAGCAAGAACTAGGACTGACCTTGATGGTGATGGGAGCTCAGAATATCATACACCAAACATTCTGAAGTCCACACTCTGATTGTCAGGGCAGATCACGGGCATGTGGGGTAAATAGAAGGTCAAGTCAGCCAAGTGGTAGGTAGGGTGGGATATGACTGAAGGGGGAAGCTGAAGGGGAAAGGTCACAGGTTTATGATGCAATTGAATGAAATGTGTCCAAGAAGCAGTCCTCAAGTTAGCAGTCAAGCCAAATATCACAGGAGAAGAATCTGGGGAGCATTACTCGTGGACAGGGATATTCTGATGGCCTCGGCTCTGTCAAAGATGGTTGTTCAGACCTTCCTGGTGGTCTTGCAGGTAATAACAGCTTTAGGGAATGTGCTGGTGCTCCTCAATCTGCTGATGAGAATACAGTTCATTCTCCACTGCTCATGGCTTCTTTTTATAACTCTTCCAGCCATGTTATATCTGGTTTTCCTACCTCTCATTCTTCACTCTTCTTTCTACTCATTGCATTGCAGTCATAATTTCTTTCTTTTTTAAGTCTCATTGTTTACTTCCCTCCCTAAAATCATTCAATAGTTCCCTATCACCTACAGGATAGGTCCAAAAAACAACCTCTCTTCTTCAGAAAATCTTCCCCAGTGATTTTAAGTTCATGATATCAAATGCATCTCTAAGTTCCCAATGTTCTTCTCCTCTATAATCTATAATTCAGTAAGTTGTCATGCGTGGGAGGGGGGGGGCTGGAGGGGGAATAGCCCTCTGCTGGGATTGAGCAGATAAATATTCATTTCTGAAATCACCAGCATCTTGAGATTAATATTTACCATTCAGATCAAGAGTATCAAATATTATGTGTTTAGAGAATTGGAACACTCCTGAAGTGCTTTGGAGTTCTAAATCTAGTGGTTTTAAAAAGGAACCCTGGCAGTGGAGAATGTAGTAGAGGGTATTAGTAACTGTTCAGGCTTTAGGTTTAGACAGAATTGGGTTCAGATTCCAGCTCTATCATTTACCAGCTGTATGTCTTAACCTTTTTAAGTTCACTTTGCTTTATCTATAAAACAAAGCATCACACCTGCATTTGGCAGACTGAAATGTATGCACAGCGTCTGACACAAATAGGTACTCAGATGGCAATTACCATGCTGCTATGGATCCAACTGGCTTATGAATGATCTTGATACCACACTTAAAAATGGCTTTGACTTTCTGCATCCAAACTGGGGTTTGATCCACATTTGTCTTCAAACGTGTGAGACGTCAATGAAAAACAGAAAATACAGAAAGTGAGAACTTAGGAAGGACATACTCCTAGACCTTACCAAAAAGCAGATTTCTAACATTTTAGGTCTGCCCACAGAAATTCTATAGGACTAGAATAGGAATGGACCAAATTACAGAAATAATCTGATCAACATAAAAGTGTTTACTGAGCGAGTTATAACAGCCATCAGATATTGTTGGTTGACTGCCTCTGCTATAGGTTTCATGTTTGGACTTACCCTTCCAGGGTCATTTGGTGCCCTAAAATGTTAGAAGGCTAATTTGGGGAAACCAGGGGCACGAGCATATGGGCTGAGGATAGATGGGGAGAAGGTCACAGATTTATGTATGACCCCAGCTACAGAAGAGGCAAAGAGATTTGTGGGTGAGAAGGCTGACCCCTCTAGGCTGCCGCGGACCAGCACAGCAGTAGGCAGTAGACGATGAGGCCACCTCAGGGTTGAGAGAAGCGTGTAGGGTGGTCAGGGCACACTTCAAGAGTGAAAATCTGAGTGTAATTTTCTTTGAGTTTGTGACCAGTATATATATGTTTTCCAAAAGCACAGGAATGAATATCAAAGAAATTAGCTTGCTCATGGGCTCAGTCTGTCACCATCAGGGAGGTGATCTACATAACAAACAATGACCATTATAGAAGAAAGGAGGAAGTTTAGAAAGACAGATAAGGGATTAAAGTTTGTAGTTCTAAAAAGATGGGATAAGATTTTTTAGCATTCTTGTAGTGGTTCTTGGTGGTCGTTATCTATTGATAAGCTTCTGCCTTCAGGGAACTTCCGCTGCACTTCCTCTGCTTCAGGCTGTTCTCTCCCCGCGCGCTGGTTGCCCAGCCGGATCTAGGGACCGTGGCGAAAGCCATTCCTAAAGATCACTGCGGGGGGGAGGTGCAGCAGGTAGGGTTTTGCTGTTCTTCCCCTGCGCGCTGGTTGCCCAGCCGGACCTAGGGCCGGTTAGCCCTAAAGGTCACTGCAGGGGAAGGTGCAGCACTAGGCATGGTCCTTTACTGCTGACTTGACTTCCCCAAGCCCTTGCCTTGTGGCTGGCACAGTCCCAGATCACCACCTGCTCCCATCCTCCCGGGGACGGATCCTTCCTGATTACACTCACCTTCTTCCTTCAGTGAGCTTTTCCAAGCAGTAAGAACAATTCCTACTTCATCCTCAATCTGCCCAAATGTTCCTCCCCCATAACACTTTCCCAAGTTTATATTATTTTACTATTACATTATTTCTGACCTACTCAGTGATGGATTTTGTGACCTGTTTGTTTCTCACATTGCCAAACACAGTTGCCCTGGTTTTAAGATTATTTAAATCACTATTAGGATGCTTTTCATTTGAATAGGGAAGTCTCTGAAATAATGAATATTTAATTTGTGTAGTATTCTTTTACAGGAATATAATTGTATACTTTTCAAATAAATGAATTAGCTAACCTAGATCAATACTATATTTTTCTGAGTTATTTAGAATGATTACAACACACAATAAGTTGATGAGAAATGTATAGTTCCTATTTCTTTAATATACAAAAAAAAAAGCTTGCAAAGTTAAGAGCACAAACCCCAACAGAAAAATGGGCAAATGATGTGACTATATCTTTAAAAATAGGTCCTAAATGGGAAAGATTGTGCTCGAACTCATTCATAATAAGAGAAAAGCAACTAAAACAATACGATCTAGCATTTTTTGCCTTTCAGATAAGCACAGTTCAAAAATTCTCATAACATACTGTGTTGCCAACTTTGTGAACAAGGTTTGGGAAAACAGGCAAGCACATCAGTGCTGATAGGATAATAAAATGGTAGAACTTCTCTAAAGGGTGATTTGGCAATATTCATAGAAACCACAACTGCACACAAGTTTGACTAACAATTCCACTTGCAAGGAATTGTTGAATACATGTATTCTCACATAGATGTGAAATAATATATTGACATAATATTATTTATTGTAGCACTGTTTATAATAGCTAGGAATGAGGGGACCTATCCATATCAATGGGAACATAGTGTAAATAAATTATGTATATACATATAATGGAATACTATGCAGCTATTAAAAGGAAGGAGCAGGGGTTGTCCTTGTAGTGTCTCTTTATGTATTGTTAATGATGCATAAACAGGTGATGGAGAGCAAAGAAGGGGATAAGAGTGATATACACTATTGTCATCTGTACAAAAAAAAAAGGTTGGGGAGAGGAGAATATATGCATATGCTTTTATATACATAGAATATCTCTAAGAATACAAAAGAAATTTAATATGTATTACCTCTAGGGAGGAAAAGTGAATGTCTGGGAAATAGGGATTGGATGCAGACATTTCTGTGTACTATTGATATGTTGTACCATTTGAATTTGGTACATTCATCAAAATAAATGACATATCTTAATCAAGTGCCCCAGTTGTTGGGGTGATACACCTGAACTTCACCAGATTCCCTTAGGAAGATGGTACCCAAACATATGCCAGCGCCACCAAGTGTTGTCCTTTCTAGGAGTTACAGAATATTTCTACTTAGTTGCCCTCAACCCATCTGTCTGTGCCTCTGCCTCTCCTCTTCTCTCCTCTTCCACCTGCCCTTGCTCCTCCCACAAAGGCCTTCTGAGTAGCCTCACATACCCCTGCCTCTTGCTTCTGATAGGACGGCAATAGATGCTCCCAACAGTTTCATTTCCTGGAATCCTGGTCCCTAGCAGGGCTGGAAAAGAGCCAACAACACTGCTCAGGGCTCCATTTTGTCGCCCTGACACTGAAGCAGCTCTGCCTGCACAGAGTCTCGCAGTTGCTCAATTATTTTTATCAGTAATTTTTACTCACCTCCAGTCTGCTGTCTAAAGATCTGTTTTGTTTGTTTTTTTAGTTTACCTTTTATTTATATGTTTTTCATCTTTTTCATAAGGCTTTACAAACCACTTGCCAATTCATACAAAGTTCCAGTTCATTAACACCATTCCAACAGATTGTGAACTGCTTTGAAAAGCAGGGTACGACATTCATAGGAAAGTCCATTCTCCCATACCAGTTCCCTTCACCCATCCATCCTCTACTTTTCTGGAAGAAAAGAGGTGAGGTGGTAGCAGGGGTTATTTCCTCCTCCATAAATCCCTCTCCCCCCACTCAGAGCAAAATAAATACAGTGGTGGAGGAGAGAGGGAACAGGGGTTACCTAGGACACCTGCAGTTGACCAAAATTTTTGATAAGTACTGCTATTGATATAAACACACAATTTTAGACAATTCCTTTCTTGTAGGAACTGGCACAGCATGCTCTTCCTTGGCATTTCCAATTGCACTGATTCTGACCTTTATTAACCAAATTGATGAGAACGACTTTTCCACAATTGTCTTCAAGCATCCTGGTTGCAACCTTCACTTTGAGGCTGTATTCGTCTTCCTGAAACACTTGAGTGAGAACCCACCTGCAGAACTAAAGGTACAGAGACAGACTTTTCAAAGAATCCTTGAGAGTTCAAGTTCATGCAAAGGAGTCTGGTTGGTTGGTGAGTTGAAGAATGTATAACGCTGTCAAGAGGGGGGTTGTGCCCAGGAAATGTGGAAGACACCGGGCTGGGGATATGGGTGACAGGCATCCAAAAGATAGCATTCTAGTCCTCAAGGAGCCAGCAGGCCAGTAGAGAATAGGAAATTTCACACAGAATGGCTGCTGCATAAGGAACAACCTGGCAATGACCGAGGACAGACAACATACTGCAGCAGAACAGACAGCATACTGCAGCAGCTCACAGGAGGGAGAGGTTTCATCCAGCAAGAAGGACCAAAACAAGATTCCATAAAAGCAATAAAATACGAATCAAGTCTTGAAGGAGAGGTAACATTTGGATACAGAGAGGGAAGAGAACAGCCTGAGTTGAGGCTGGGAGCAACATGGGAAACATCTGTTGGGCTGGCTCGCCTAGAACACACCACCAGTGAAGGTCGAGGTGGGGAATGAGCCTGGGGCGAGACTCAGGTGGCTCCAATAATTAGAACTCCTGCCCTTGCCAAGCCCTTTGTAATTTATGAAGCTCTTTCCCGGGAATTGTCATTCAACCTTCACAGTGACTCTGATTTAGATATTTCGTATAAAGAAACTAGAGCTCAAAGTCTGAAGTAACTCACCAAAGGTTACTTAGTGGCAAAAGTTGTTTTCAAGTGGGCAAACTACAGAGTACTTTGCATGAGAAGGCACTAAAAATACCATAAATATGTGCCAATCGGCCCCCAGTTGCCTGAGGCTAATTTTTAAAGTTTGTTCTCTTCCGTAGTTTTAACATTCCCCTTGAGTAAATAATTTTCCAATATTAATTTGCATTATAAGTCATTTCTTCAGGTTACATTTCTTCAGGTAATTTCCAGGTTAAACTTCAGCTTTGAACCTCTTAGAATTATCAAATTCTGAATTATTGGCAGGTGAGTTCAATGTATTCCTTTAAACCAGATCATACGTGCCAGTGTTTCCAGACTTAAAATTTTCAGGCTCTTTTTACCCTGTTTTGTGAGGACCTTCGATTGGGTGGTCATTTTTTGGGTTTAGTCATTAGTGTTTTGCTTTTAATAAAAGTGATTCTGATACATCTTTAAAAGAAGTAAATGGATTATTTTATTCTATTCTGAAATGTCTCCCCACTAGAGTGGATATAATTGAACTGGGCCAATAATAAACATTTGCTTCCTGGGAGATACCTATTGTTAGATAGTGTTGAACTGTATTGTTTTTGTGTTCTGATGAGGGAGGAGTGGGCGCGTTTAGTTTTGTTTTTTGTTTTACATCACTTTGTTGGAGGCCAGGGAAAGTTGCTAAATAAATCACTTCTGTGACGAAAGTACCCGACTTTCAAGGGAGAAAGCCTGCCACACACTGGTTTTGCTCTCTCCCACGTCAAGATGTTTGCTAAATGACAAAAGATGTTTGAAGATGTTTGCTAAATGACAGCGATCAGCCTCACAAGTAGTAACCTAGGACTTCCAGTCACTCCAGTACGCCAAGGCTTTCTTCATTTTGCTGCCTAGAGAGAGGCACTTGGCAGCAGCAATGCTGATGGATTCAGCACCTCACAGGGCCACCATGACAAATACACACAGTCGATGCTTATTATTGTGACAGCCACATTCTATAAAGTCACCACAACGGTGCATCAGTGAGCACTAAATGATTGGTCCTTGGGGAAATACAGGGCTAGGTTCCTACTAACTCTGGTCACCACTTCTCACCAATACTTTAACTATTTAATTAATTAACTGTATAATTAAAAATACATTAACTGTATAATTAATCATTAATATATTATGTCTGTTTCTGTTTAAAGACACCTGTTAAGGCATTTATTGTTGATGCATTAACATGATTCGTGCCCCGCAGCCCTGCACCTCGTGCTAGGTGGGGCTGGTCTAGCATGTGTCTTCTCCGAAGGCATCTCACTGCTTGCTTGGAACAGGGGACATGTCAGCCTGACACTTGGGGAACACTTTAAACAGCAAAATCACCAACAAAAATGACAAAAAAAATGCAAAAAGTAGACACTAAATAGATGACCAAAAAACACATTCTTTTGCTCTATGAAACAAGAAAACTGCTTGACCTCAGCTGGAAACACACATCGGAAGACCTAAATTTTTTTCTGGCATGTCCACAAATGACCCCAAAAGCATGTTGAGTACTATTTGGAATTACAAATAAATTTTAGCAGGAAGATTAATTTATAACATAGAGGCCAAGAATAATGAGGATCTACTAAATATTGAAAATGTGTGTGTGTGTGGTGTTTGTGTGTATGTGTGTGATATGTAGTGTTCAGTGGGTGTGTGTGGGTGGTATCAGAGTGTGTGGTATGTATAGTGCATTTGTGTGGTGTGTGTATGTGTGTGTATGTGTACAGTTTGTGTGATATGTTGTGTATAGTGTGTAGGCTGTGTGGGGCTGTGTGTGTGTGTATGGTGTCAGAGTATGTGTGGTGTGGTATGGTGTGTGTATGATATGTGTGGTATGTGTAGTGTGGGGTGGGTGTGTGTGCACTTATGGAAAGAAGGAAGGATTCTGTCCCAGGTTGTGTCATGCCAGGTCTGTGTACAGCCAGGACAGGGGCACTGCTGGTCTGTGTGGTGCCATTGTGTAAATTAGATGGCGGCTCCCGCTCTGGGCAGGTTCAAGCCCACAGCACACAGCTGGAGGAACAGACAGAGGAGTGAAGAAAAGAAAATCCCTTCCTCCGGGGAATGTGGCTTTGCAGCAGCAGGCAGAGCTGTGCTGATAGAGCACAAACAGACTGCAGTCTCTCCTCACCCCCTGGACTGTGCACACTGCAGAACACATGTGGTGGCCTTATAAAAGAATGTGGCATGGACAGGCCAACTTTGTCTTGAAGCAGAAATTAATCTTTCAAACAGGTCCTATTGAGGGACCTCCAAGGGGACCTCTGTGTCAGCATTTCTCTTCTCTGACCCTTGTATTGCTCCAGACCTTAGATTTCTCTTTTAAAATGTTATAGTTAATCCCTAGGGCTGTTATAAGAAATGCCCACAAACTGAATGGCTTAAAACAACAGAAATTTATCCTCACACAGTTCTGGAGGCTACAAATCTGAAACCAAGGTGTCAACAGGGCCATGTTCTCCTTTGTAAGCTCTGGAGGGAATCCCTCCTTGTTTCTTTCAACTTCTGGGAAGCTCCTGGCATGCTTAGCCTTGTAAGTTGCTAAGATTGCGTATAGCTTCATTCTCGGCCTGTGTCTTCATGCCTTCTTCCCTGTATGTATCTCTTGGTGTCCTCTCCTCTCCTTGTAAGGACACCAGTCATTAGATTTAGAAACTACTCTTGTCCAGTGTGACCTCAATTAACTGATTATTTTTACAAAGACTCTACATCCAATTTTAAGTTCTGGGTGGACCTGAATTTTGGAAAACAATATTTCAATCCACTACCACCCTTACAAATGAAGACTGGGAACTCAGTAATGGGAACCTTAACAGTCATCTAATGTCCTTTAACCAGACTTCTAAATTCTTCTCAAGATCTCCACTCTTTGTACTCCCCCTAGCCCTAGTTTTAGGATCTTTGTTTCCTACCTCCTTTTCAGGTTTAAGGGTTTGGAATAGGTGGTAGTAAATGAAAAAGAAGAAAGTGAAAAACAAATGGCAGCCACCAGAAAAGCACTAAAGTATTTCACCTTGAATGTATATGCAAATATGCGCAACCTCCTCAACAATATCTTAAACTTTGCCATGACCCAAGGGCAAATTCCAGGGGACAACAGTGATCTCAACATTAGAATTGCAACCAAAATAAAATAGGTTAGACATTAATGGCCCCTTTGGCCACAACATTTCCCATGGACTTAGGAAAATAGGCACTGCAGGGCAAGCCTTCATCACACACATGTGTTCTGATACATTCTGGAAGTAAGTATGCCCTTCAATCACATTCAGGCATCAGAATCTTGACTTGGTGCTGAAAGAAGTCATGTCTGTCTAGGTAGCTATCTACCTACAACCTGTCTAATACCTAAAGCCAAATTAATTGTATTGAGACCGGTTAGATCCACCGCCTTGTGTAATAATAACCAAATACAGTTGATGCTGTTTTTTCGGCTACTCAGCATCATACTCCCTCCCCCACCAGGGCCTGTGTGGCACATGGCATTAAATCCACCCCTGCCTCCAGGTACACATGTGAACTGGGCTTGGCCAATTAGAGTACCAAATTCTCCTGGTCATGGTGACTGGATGAAAGATTATGTCAGATACAGTCCAAGCCAATGGAAAACAGGAACTGTCTCCACTTTCCAGTGGAACTTTGGAAAGCGACTCCTATTGGGTTTGTGAAGCTGCTGGCAACCATATTGCCACCAGGGACTTACTTAGTTGCTCAGCATAGCTGAGAGCAGAGACCTAATTGCATCATTTGAGCCCAGCATCTAGTCGGGGTTGAAAGTGGAACAGAATATTAATGAATTCACAGTTATATAAGCAGTAAACTCCCTCTTTTTTCTATCTTGAGTAGGGTTTCTGTCACTTGCTACCTGCTACAACATGGTACAGGTAACCATGAAGGACTGTGTGATAGCTATCCAGAAGATTCTGATATCAGACTCTATTTCCTGTCCCCATGACAGAGTAGACAATTCTGGACCAGTGTGCTGAGGCCCTTGTGATCACCCCATGGGATACTTTTCCATGGGTCCTACATTCCTTTTGTTGCATTCTTGATCACTAAATCTTGCTAGTATATCAGGATCTCTAGATTCTACCCCACAACATCCCAGATGCACAAAGAAAATGTAATGCTTCAGGTTTGCCAGTAGCTAATCTGATCTTTCCCCTGTGGAATCTCCCATTACTGTTCAGCAAGAAAATATTAACTAAACCCAGTTTAACCTTACTCTGATCCAATCATGCAAACTAATTTTTTTTTAGGAAATACACAGCCTCATTTGGATTAAAATTCTCAGTTACTAAGATAGGACTGCCTTCCTCCTGCCTCTCTCCATAAGACGGTCTCCGGACACATGAGAAGGGGGCTTGCTCACCCTAAAAAGAATGGCTCCGAGGCCTTGGATTCTCAGCCTGCTCCAGCGTCTGAATTCTATCCTTTATCTAGGAGAGGGCTGCAGTGTGGATGTCTCCTGGAATGGTCATTCTTGTCAGAACCTACTATGTCCCTCAGACTGTCTTGGCTTCACCTTCACGGCCACTAGTGACAGACGCCAAGTCTTTGCCCACCAGCCTCCAGTTCAGTGTCACAGTGCACCCCTGGCCTCTACAGCGGGCCACCTGCACCTGCGCAGTGGACTCCATGGCAGGCCCCCTAGCTGCCAGCTCTGTCCACACCACATAGTGACCAGCACAGAGTGGTATGTGTCAAACTGCTCCAGTGTGACCCTCTCCTATCTGATGCCCCTGCCTCTTACCATTGCAAGTCAGGAAAGGAAAGCCAAGTAGATGGAGTCAGCTGCTTCTTGGGTTCACTCCTTTTGTCCCTTTCCTGTCTACACTCGTTAGGTAGAATAGGGACTCTACCAGTACTGCAGAGCCCCCATAGTCTGATAGATTGCATTTGTCTTTCCCACTTCACGTTCTGCTTTCCCCCACTCCAGCCAAGCCTGGCTTCCCTCCATGCTGTGGAGAAATCTCCCAGCTGAGTATGCTAGGTTCTGTGGCGGAAATGTTAAAGGGGAGGGAAAGAGATGTGGAAATTTGTTTTTCAAAACAATATCCTGACTCGCACAGTTATTGTTGGAGGATCAGATTCTGAATGTCAATGGCTGAATATTAAGTTGTTCTTCCTCTCCGCATTTCTAAGCTAACATTTCTCATTTCCTTTGTGGCCTCCCACCTCCAGACAGAAGAATGTTTGGGGAAGATGAGAGCAGTGCTGTCCAAAAGTACTTTGCCTGATAGGAATGCTTTATATCTGTGTGCTTCAGCACAGCAGCCGCCGGCCATAGGTAGCTGCTGGGTACTTCAGCTGAGGCTGGTGGGACTGAGGGACTGGCTTATTTCACTTCAAT